AGGCGGCCCCTTTGTGAACGTGAGCAACTTGGGCGGCTTTGGCGGCAGTGGCGCGCAACCGCTGCACCAGGGAGCCCCGGCTGGAGCCGCGTGCGCACAGGGCACCTTGCAGGGCATCCGGGCCTGGTAGGGACGAGCGGGTCACGGCTCCCCTACCGCAGCCCAGTGCCAAGGGACTGAAGTTCGAGAAAGGCCCGGCCCAGCCCCCTCGTTAAAACAAAACAAAAACGATTAAAGTCAAGAAAATGCCCACGTCTCGCTCCTCGGTGCCCTGAGCACAGCTCACTCGGGCCCTGGGGAAAGGGACGCGGGAGCGAGGAGGCTGCCTCAGCTGGGCCGCCGCCGACGGGACCGTCTCTGAGACAGGAACGCCGGCTGGGGGCCGGGGAGACCGGTGGCCCGGACCTCCAGGGGTGCAGGAGGCCAGGAAGCTGCCTGCTACTTGGTTCTTCCAGAGCCAGAAAGGACTGCTTTCTCCCTCTCGGCCTCCCAGCCGTTTCAGAGAAGCGTTGGCGGGGAAACCGTGGACAAAAACAACAACAAAAAAAGCCCGAAGAAGAAAAACTGGGTCTGAGACATCCCCCAGCGCCAAGGATCCTCCGAGTCCTTTGCAAAAGTCCGGACCGCCGCCGCGCACCACGCCGCTGCTCCGCTCCGCTCCCAGCCGCCTCCCCTCCGCTGCAGCTGTGGCCAGAGAGAGAGTACTCCGCCGTACCCCCTGAAGGTCTGGGGACCCGATAGGAAGAGGCAGACCAGCGGAGAGGCATCAGAAATTTCGACCTGAACAAATCAGGGACCTGGTGGCCCGCCCGAGGTGATAACAGGGTTTCCTTTCTGTTTCGTATTCTGTATTCAGCACATATTATAGATATAAACTGTATTCACACGCCGTGTACACACCCGCTGCCATACACTACAGAAGTCAATAAACAAGGTGCAATATTTCCAAACCCTCGGCCGGCTCCAGAGACTTTGTTTAGCCCCAAACAACAACAACAAAACACCGGGCAGGTGGGGCGCTTGAAGGGCCTGAGAAGCGGGATGGAAAGATGCCCTGGGGGTGGAAAGCTGTCCTCCCTCGGGGGTCTCAGGCCAGGTCCTCCAGGGCGCCAGGCCCTGGGCTGCATGTCCGGTTTTATCCCCACCGCTGCCTGTTCCTTACATCTGGCTTTCCTGCGGCAGGGACAGGTTGGGGACACCAGGCCTTTGGAGTGCCTGGGCCGTGCAAGGACTCCCGTTTTTCTCCCCCAGATGCTCCGGACTTGAGTTCGGCCAGGGCCTAGATTCTGCCCCGCGGCGCGAATCGCCAGCCCGGAGGAAACCTCCCCTCCAGGCGCCGCCTTTGCGCCAAGGCTACTCAGCCCAGGGCGGCTGCCGGGCTTCCTGGCGCGCCCTGGGGCGCTGTGGCTGCGCCCCGCCGCGGCCGCGCTCTCCCCCTCGGCCGCCCTCCCTTCTCCCCCGGCGGCCGCGGCTTTATGCGGCTCCTTGTCACTTGCGGAGAATGCCTGTGCGAGGCCGGTGCTGCCACACGGCCGATTGTGAGCGTGCCAAGGCGCGTGAATGGGGAGGCCTCAGAGCGCCGCGCCATTGTGGGGCCGGGCCTCGCTGAAAGGCGGCTCCGGGCCGGGAAGGTGCGGAAAGAATGGCTTTTTATTGGAGTCCCGAACAAAAGGTGTGGTAGGAAGGCGAGGTCCCCTGCGCGAACAAAAACCCCAGCGCGTCGGGATTGACGTTCCGCCGAGCTCCCCATTGCTTCTCAGAGCGGGGGGCTTTGTGCAGCAGTCTGCACCACAGAGGGACGGAGAAATGCGCGGGGGGGGTTTTGTTCGCTACTTTTTGTGTGCTGGGGGGAGGGGGCGGCCAGGGCCGGGGCCGGGGGCTGGGCGGGCCGCGGGGCAGGGAGCGCTGATTAGGCCCGGCCGGCCGGGGCGCAGAGCAGTGCGGCGGGAGTTGGCGGCCTGAATGCAGGGTCATTATTGCTACAAGTCTAGCAATTTCGCCCTTGCAGGAGGGGGCGGGGGCTGCGCGGCCGCGGCCCGGCCGCCGGGCTGGGGAAGTGGAGAGGCTCCAGGGAGGAAGAAAGGCGAGGGGCTGGCGAGGGAGGGCGGAGGCGAGGGAAGCCCTCCGAAGCCCGCTGACCGCCCAGGATGCAACTTGGACGCCCCCACAAGGGCCTTGGCTGGGGGCTGGCGAGGCGGCGCCTGGGGGCGAAAACCCTCGCTCGACTGTTAGCGCCTGGCCGGGAAGCTGGGGCCACTGCACACACACACATGCACGCGGGTTCTAGCTGCAGGCTAGGCTCCCCTGTGCTCCTCTCCACTAGCCCTGCTTTCGCTCGGGCCTCCCTCGGGCAGCCATCAAGTTCACCCTCAAGGCCCTTCCTAAGAATCCCCTTCTCCCTGGATCCTCCCTCTTCCCGCGGGTGGCTTGGGTTATGGCCTAGAGAGGGAATTCCCTTTCCCCACCAACTTGCAGTCACAAAAGACTCATCCATTCATGCAGTCCTTCAACTTACGGAGTCGCTGCTAGATATTTACTTACACTCCCTGTCCTGGATGCTGAACTTATTTTTAGGGGTGGGGTGGAGTGGTGTGTGTGTGTGCTGGAGGATGAAGGAACAAACAAAAGGGGTTCGATGAATTAAAAGAAAGAACCAAGCGCAGGTTGTGGGGGGGTCCCTTTGGAGTAGGGGGTGTCAGGAAGGCCATGCTTGAGTTGACAATGGGGAAGCCAAGTCGAGCAGCACTCTGCTATTTCAAGCTGCCATACTTGTGCCCATGTCAGCCCCAGCTCTGAAAGGCCCTTCTGCCTCCATTTTTCTGGAGAATTTTTACTCCTCCTTCCAGGCCAAGCTGCTTTCCTGAGGCACCCGAGTGGAGGGAATCACCACTTCATTCGTGCCACTGAGTCTTAGGTACTTTCCAGTCACGCCACGATGTCTGGGAGATTTCTTTTCTTTCCTGGTACATGACATTGGGGAGGGCCAGGTCACCACCATTTTTCTCTGAGGCAGAAAACCACAGTTGGATCTCATGGGGTGGGGAGGGAGGCGCAAAGGGGTCGGTCGTTGGAGAGGCTATCTTCCCTACATCTCCAAGGAGATGACCTCCAGAGGGAGGACAGAGTAGGACCCTTGGCTGGGCTGGACAGCACCAGGGTAAGTGGAATTGCCTGTGGGGAGGCACACTACACCTGTCCTCCAATGAAGGCCTCATGTTCTATACCCTTCTGGAGCCATCCCCTAGGACAGCGGTTCTCAACCTGTGGGTTGCAACCCCTTTGGGGGTCAAACGACCCTTTCACAGGGGCTGCCCGATTCATAACAGTAGCAAAATGACAGTGATGAAGTAGCAACGAAAATAATTTTATGGGTGGTGCGGTCACCACCACATGGGGAACTGTATGAAAGGGTCAGGGCATGAGGAAAGTTGAGAACCACTGCCCTAGGAGAAGAGGCTGACATTGTAGACAGCAGGAGCAAGAAAGCGGGCATTGAATCTTGAATCCACTTGGATTTCCCGACATTCACTAGGTATGTAGAATGGTAGAGCAAGAAGACCTGGCCCCACGCAGGATGCCAGTCTTGGCTGCTGGGAGCAGGTCTAGAGAGGAGCCTCTGTCCCATATCTGGGGGTTTTTCACTAAGCAATTCCTTTCACTCCAACCTAGTCCATATTCTGCTGGTCTCTGGCTGCCCCCAACACCAGGTCCCCACCTCCTTAGCCAGGTTGGTTCCCTCCTAGGGCACCTGGCGGTCATCTTCCTTCTTAAGGTGACCAAATGTCCCACTTTTGGCTGGACAGTCCTGGTTTTTAACAATTTGTCCCACGTCCCACGGCGTTTTAAAAAAGTCCTGACTTTTGGAAAGAATGCACAACAAGATGGGGTATACGGTTTTCGGCTGCCATGTGGCTATTTCGCCAGGATATGAGTTTTATCGATAGTGTCCCGCTTTACCAATGTTAAAATCTGGTCACCTTAATTTACTGCACCCTCTCCTGTTCTAGAAAGGCCACTTGTGGCCTGCATGGAGGAAACAGAGCTGGCTCGCAGGATTGACTTCCGCATGGTTTGCGTGTCTTGAGATACTTAAAGCCGCCTAGACCAGCCCCCTCCCTGTTCCCTACCCTTCCCGGAGCCTGCAGTCTCTGGTATAAATAGCATCCATCACTTTGCTGAAGGATTTTCCGCAGAGCTCATTGCTGGGGTTCCGGGTGCCCCACGCTGTGGGAGGGGAAGTACCTGGACCCACCAGGAGAAAAGACAGTGGCTTTAGGGGGTTGTCCTGTGAGCCAAGAAGAATCATAAAATCCAGACAAGCATGACCGGAGAGACTGGACTGGGGTAAGGAGGCCGTCAAGACCAAAGTAGAAACCTTGATTAAATTAGGCTTGCTGTGAACCTCAGTTTTCCTCCTTGGTAAAGTGGGTATGCTTATAGTGCCTCTCTCTTAAGTATTGTTAAAAAAAAAAAGTACAAGTCACAAGCATCAAGAGAACAGCGCCGTGAATTTTCACCCGTGTAAACAATCGATGTCCAAGCACCGTGGACCTGAGAATTCTAAAGGCAGCTTAGCACACCCCTTCAAGATGCTGTGTCTACTGAGAAGCCAAGATCTGAGTTGGCCCTCCAGATGCGGGAGCCAGGCAGGCCAGATGGTTTGGAAGTCCAACACCAGCAGGGGCACGTCCCCTTCAAGGCTGGGGTGTCATGGTTGGTGGGGAGCCCATGACAAGGGCTGCTTGGCCAGACTGGCAGACTTCAGACGTCCTCGAGGGGCGTGTGACCTTGGCTGGGTCTTGTGAATTCTACTGCAGGGGACGGATGGAGAAAGGATGTCCCAGGCGGAGGCCACCCCCCCCCCCCCTCGCGGGAGGGCCCACCACTGCAGGTAGGACACGGTGGGGAGGGGAGAGGAGAGGAGGGGAAACCCAACCTGTCCTCCCCTTGCAAGGCATCTCCTCGCGGGTGGCCAGAGCTTGGCCAGAGCAATGGATCACATCTGACAGGCGGTCGGGAGAAAACCTGAGCCGCACCTAGGTTGGGGTGGAGCCGATGGGCGGGCAAATCCCCCAGAACTGCCCGTGCTGGGGGCGTGGGTTCAAGGCTTCTGTCAGCTTCTTTCTTCGA